AGTTTGTAATTGTTAACATGATGTTGTTTTCATGTTGCTAATGTTGCTTTAATGTTGATTGATAGATGTTATATTGTTACTTTTATGTTGTTTGACAAATTATAGTTGTTTTAATGTTGCTTGACAAATGTTATATTATTGTTTTGTTGTTGTTAATCTTGTTTTTGTTTCATAATTTTTGTCATTAATTTCTAAAATTATATTAACAAAAATTTTATTGTTTTTTAGATAATTTAATTGTTATGTATGTCATTCGCTTTTTCTATATTATATCTTTTTGGTTGTTTCTTTTTTTTTGTAGGTATTCGAAAGCGAAGAATAAGAAGAAATGGAGAAGAAGAAAAGAAGAAACAGAAAGAAGAGAATGAAAAAAAAGGAAACGGAGAGAGGAAGAGAAAGAAAAAAGGAGGAGAGAGAAATCATGGTTTTTTTTTCCTAAATAATAAGGAGTATTTATGGAAATCATGGTAATGTATGAGTTTTATAGAATGTTTTATTTGGAAGAAGTCAGTTACGTCAATTGGTTAGTTTTTTTGAATTGGACCGGCCCAGCGTGGGCTATTTGGACCGGAGTCAGAACCGATCCAGATGGGCTATTTGGACCGGAAAACAAAGGACTCGCCAAACCCGGTCAAAACACGGCCTTGACCCTGCCGACTCGGGGCATTGACCCGACCGGGTCAACCGGGTTGACCCAGCCCACATATTTATTTTTTTATTTTTTTTGTTTTTTTCAAAATAAAACTATGTATATATGTTTATATTTTAAAATTAAGGAAAAATTGCACTATTCGTCCACTAACTATACCCTCGTTGCACTTTCGTTCTTTAATTGTTTCCGCAATTGGTACACTAACTTTTTTTTTTGGTAATTTTAGTCCAAAATGACATTTCGGTGCTCATTTTCGCCGGAATAGCTGATGTGGCGCCTAGTCAGATCGGAATTCCATTCTCGGCGTGATGTGGCATGAGGTGGCGCCTAGTCAGATCGGAAAAAAGGCAATATTCGTCCACTAACTTTACATTCGTTGCATTTTCGTCCTTTAATTGTTTCCAGTTTAAAAAATCAGAAGAAAAAAATATTAAGAAAAATAAAAAAAGCTTTAAACAGAAAAAGAAAAGACATGTGGAGAAAAAAATTAACAAAAAAAAGAATATTAATTAATAAAAAAATCATTTTGTTTAATGATTTTAAAAAAAATAAAAAAATATATTTTTTTAAAAATAAAAATACATTTTTTTTATTTAATTAAAAATGAAATAATTAATATAAAACGAAATGAAAAACAAAATAAATGTTTAATGAGAAATAAATATTTTATAGTTAATGGTTAAATATTTAATAAAAAAGAAATATTTATCATTTTTATGTTTATTAATGAAAAAAATATTTAATAAAAAACTAAATATAAATCAAAATAAATATTTTCATGAGTAATAAATATTTATAAGTATTTTTTTATTAATGATTAAAATATTAATGAAAAATTAAATATTTAATAAAAATATATTTTTCAATTTTTATTAAATATTTCGTTTTGTATTAAATACTTATCATTAAATAAAAAATATTTATCACTCATTATAAATTTATTTTGTTTTTATTAAATATTTCCTTTTTATTAAATCATTAAATATTTCATTCTTATTAAATTAAAAGTTATATTTTTTCCTTTTTCTAATGATTTTATCTTTTTCTTTTTAAAGCTTTTTATTTTTCGTTTGATTTTTTTAATATTTTTTTCTGATTTTTTTAACCGGAAACAATTAAAAGACGAAAGTGCAACGAATGTAAAGTTAGTGGACGAATAGTGCAATTTTTTCGATCTGACTAGGCGCCACCTCATGCCACATCACGCCGAGAATGGAATTCCGATCTGACTAGGCGCCACATCAGCTATTCCGGCGAAAATGAGCACCGGAATGTCATTTTGGACTAAAATTACAAAAAAAAAAAGTTAGTGTACCAATTGTAAACCGGAAACAATTAAAAGACGAAAGTGCAACGAGGATATAGTTAGTGGACGAATAGTGCAATTTTTCCTAAAATTAATTATCAGTTCGATAATTGATCTGGTGACCCGATGGTTGAACCGATGACCCAATGACCCGGAGACCTGTTTAGGTGGATTCGGACCGAGTTTAAAAACTAGACTCATTTTCATATATTTTTGTTGAAATAAAAAAAAAAAATTAATGGACCTATATAATATACATTAGTTATTTTTTTTCATTAGGGACTTATTAATTGATTTATTTTACTAAACTTAATCAGCCAAGAACATTCACAATCACGTGCATCTCACGCGCATTTTACTAGTTATATGTCATGAACCAGACTAGCAAAGGAGCAAAGATGGCGACTTTGGACGAAAATGGACAAGGTACGGGGGAGAAAGGTGAAGACTTTGAAGAAGAAAGGGGATTGTTGAAGGTGAATAGTGAGATTAGATCTGGAATTGAGAAATTAGGGTTGACAGCAAATGAAGAAGGAGAAGCCGAGAGTAGCGCGTGATGGACCGAAGTAATACCATAATCAGTTGGGCTGTTTTTATATTTTATTTGGACCTTTTATGTTATTCACTTTACTTGGGCTCAAGCTAGACAAGTAATTAAGTAGTTATTTTCTAATGGGCTATAGTCTGTTCTAGGCCCAAGTTATTAGGGATTATTCTGTGGGACCCGTTTGCATGAGGTAAAATGCAGTTTCGATAGTGAAAAATGCAGATTTTGGCATAACAAACATTATCTTTCTTCCTAATTATGTTTTTGCCATAGGGGATTAGTGTTTCCATAATTATCCGATTATATTACTATATTTATTGCACATTTAAAATTCTTTTTATCATCTATTAACTGTTTGTTTTTATCTATTTTCTTTTCACACGTTTGTTCTCTATCTATCATCTTTTCTCTCTTTTTTTTTTTTT